CACGCCCTGTCCCCAATGTCCACCCTCATCATTCCCTGGGGATCTTGCTGCTCCCCTCCCCTGCTGTTCCGCTGCACTCCCCCAGTGCTTTGCCTCAGTGTGGCAGGATCGGGTTGGGTGCAATTCCCACACTGTGTCTCTGGTGTCGTCCCCCGCAGGGCCATGAGTCAGTGACGGGCATCATGTCTCATAGTGAGGCCGGCCATATGGTCCTCTCTGTGGACTGGCTGCTCCAATTGGAGTCATCATCCTCAAGGCTTGGTGGGCCAGGATGTGCTCCAGTCTCTCCTCCTCCCCAGTCATCTGCTCCCGTGTGCTCCGGTCAGACACATCCCTCTCCCGAAGCTGCAAATTCAGTGCCATCCTTTGAAATAACTTCTTCTGGGGGAGGGGCAGGCATCCAGTTAGTATGAAATTCCAATTCTGTCATATATATTCATTCCCTCTTAAATGGATCACTCCCATTGTCATGGAGTTGATTCCTACTGATACCAGAGCAATACTATAGGGCAGAAAAGATCTGCTCCGTAGGGTGTCTAGACTATAATTGATGGATGCAGGCTACCCAGTTTTTCTCCCACAGAGAGGCTAGTGGGTTTGAATGGGTGCTCCTCCGTGATCAGTGCTGAGTCTCTAGGCCACCCAGGGTTCGGCATAAGCACTACAGCATTGTATTTCGTCTTATTCATTTTCTCCAGTTTTCTGAAAACTGCTAGACTTGTGCCTTGCTCAAGAGAACAGAAAGGATAACAAATATCTGAATGTAGTGTAGGGGAAGGTGGGAACAAGAGAATTAGATTGAAAATCAGAATATTGTGCCAACCATCTCCATTCTACCACTAATTATGAGTTAGACCAAATAAATTATTTCTCACTCAGCGTCTCATAGCTTTATCCATAAAGGAGAGGGTTGCCTTTGACATTTTCTGTATCTTCATATTGTTAAAATAATTACAATAATTCTCAGGGTAGATTTTCTGAAAGTAAAACCATCCAGAAAGATGAAATTAAATTTATGAAAACCAATAGAGTTTTAAATTAAAATCCAAAGGTCTATGAAAGTATCCTGACTATAAAACTATTTAAGATTTGTAAACAAGAAGTCTGCCGACATGTCTTGTTTATTCAATTAGACAAGCAAAAGGTTTTACTGAATCTCCTAATTTCTTCTAGTTTGTGGAATGAAAAAGACTGAAATTTTGTGTTTCTATTTTGTAGAATTGGATTTCAGAGCCTTAGAATTTATAATGATTTATTTATTTTTATTTTCCCCCCTAAGGGTGGATTCACTCGGAAATATTCACTTAGCTCAAAAACTGGAACACTTCTTCCGGAATTCCCAAGTGCACAACACCTTGTGTATCAAGGATGCATTTCTAAAGACAAGGTATTGGTTGCAGATACTACTCTGTTGATTTTCTGATATGTTGATTCTATGTTTCAGTTTGCTGGGAATATCATAGCATTTGCAGGAAGCAGTCAAAAATCGGCATAAACAAACCTAGTCGACTGATTTATATGAGAGATGAATTTGTACCGGCATTGACTAAACACGTTCAATTACTTACTCACCGTCACTATGATAATGCATAATCAGAAGGTGGCAAAATAAATTCAAGGCTATTTTTTCATTGGCAACACCTTTATATTGAGGAAGGCTCCACCAGAATGAGTCTATCACCTGCATTTTCATCCATGAAAAATTGTGTGTGTTGGTTTCGTTCTGTTTGATTTCTGTAAGTAGTCAGCGAGCATCTCTCTAAGACAACTTTTGTGGCTAGTTCTGGAGGAAGAGATCTACTCTAGAGGTAAGAAGAAGTAGTCCCTATGTTTACAAAGTTTCCTTTCAATTCTAAACCTCCGAGCTTGACAATTAAAAACAGTTTACAAAGATACATTTCCAGAGGGTCCAATCTATAAGTCCAATCTGAATACAACTTTTCAGTGCTGTTGTAATAAATTCTAAGGTGAAGTGCTCCTAACTGCTCTATTTCTACACGCTTAGAGTTGTTTGGAGGATGTCCCGGAATTTATGATTTCTTCAGAGCACAACTAATTTATATGTGTTTCTTTAATTGCAGTTCATATTGTATTAGCATTTGAGGAAAGCAATTTTCATAGTCAGTTCATATTTTTGAGGTGATGCAAAGATAGGCTAGCCAATTTTTAGCTGTATTACTTTAAAAATGGACTTTTAAAATTAAAGCAGAAAATAAAAGTAGTACATTGATAAGAAGATTTCCTATAGGTAAATTGAGATGCACAATAATTTTCATGGTTCATTCTGAAGACAGATGTACTCTAGGTAAACATAGGCAGAGGTATGAAAATAAAAAGTCTTCTGAAATGTTTTCACTGCTGTTTTCCTTTCCTATCACATCTTTCAAGTTTATCAAAAATATGTTTACCTTATAGATGCAATGTATAATGTTATGACTTTAGACTTGGGGAAAAAATACCAGTGTATGTTGACTTGTGTCAATTTGTGAGAAAGCAGGGTAGATCAGAGGAACCTCGGGGAACACAGGATTGGAGGAGGAGGTATTGTTGGGTCACCTTTGTGGGGAGGATTGTTTACGTGCAAACGTATTATGAAGATGCTTAGCATGCAAATATACAGGGAAGGCAAGAGGAGAGAACAGGCTCAGTGGAGAATATGTTCCAATCTTTTATTTCAGTTTCTCTGCTCACCTTCAAGGACATTCTTATCCATCAACTTAAAACGTTACCCTGTAGATAATTTCTCAGTCAGGTATTGAGGTGTGTATGAAATCTCGGCATTTACCTTCATCCCTCGTCTGCCCTATTAGAACATTAAGGACTGGCACACTTCTTTGTCCCTCAAGGAGGACTCATTCGCCTTCATGGCCAGTAGCCACAGTCCTCAGAGAATTTGTCATATCCAGAACGAGAGGTGTGCTGAAGAGAGCACCTTCAGCACCTGCTTTCTTGAGGCAGGAAGTCTGGAGGTTGCCTTATGGGATGTTAACTCCAGGGAAGGGTGTGAGCTGAACCTGGTGGGCTTGCTGTCCACCTCTTCGTGCTGTCAGCCAGGGCAGCTCACCGCGACCACGTGCGCGCTGGGTTTCGTCAAGGTCCACCTTGCTTGTGTTTTCGAGTGACATTTTTGCTAAAGAATATAAAGTCCTGGAATGAAAGCTCATTGTGCTAAGACTATATAAATATTAAATTAACAAATGAAGTACCAATAGAAATTTATACTTCTTGGTGAATTTTCTTTTGGTGTGTGTGAATTTTCTATAAAGAAATAAATCCTGACATAAAAGGAGACATCTTTGTGACCATGATAAGTTACTTATATTTTAGTAAGTTTTATGACCCAAAGGGTTAATTTTGGACAGAGTTTATGAATTCCATCCCATCTTTTCTGTTGCTACAATCCTCATCTAAGAAACATACATTAGTGACCCCTGTGAAAACATCCCGGCGTGGTCTAAATCTTGTACAGAGCACGTCCCAATTGCAGTTGATGGTGGCATATCATGTTAGAAGTGTCCTGTGGTTAGCAGAACTCCTTGGAGGCAGGTTGGTAATTTGCATGTTATTATTGCACAGCTGTGAACCAAGCACAGTTGGGCAGTTTCACTGCAGGAAATGCAGGATGGAGAGGCTGCAGGAATGTAGGATGGAGAGCAAATGTCACAAGAGGATACCTCCATCACTGGCACCATCCTGGATGCTGTTGGGAATAAATTTATTAATATTTATCGATATCTCATTGTGTACTGTGGTTATTCTAATGATTTTATATATGTTAATTAATTTAACTTTTGTATCTCCTTTATTAGATAATCACTGTTATTATCAATTCTATTTGAGGAATGATAAAATGAAAGTATAGAATTCAAGCATCTTGTCTGACCTCACATAACTAATAAGTGGCAGATCAGAGCTCACAATTTTAACCTAAAAACCATGTACCTATTACATAGAGCATAAAATGTATAGTAGATACAGACATTTCTAGATGTGACATTAAGCTTTAGTTTGTATATTGTTCCATTGTTGAAGTAATAGTCTAGCTCTAATCTATAGCAAATTACGAATATATTGAAAACTTCTTACACAATACAATTAAAATATTTATGGCAGATTGGAATACAGTCATCTCATAATAGACACTCAATATTTACTCTTTTTCAAGTAACTGAGCCATTTGATACTATTAATAATTCTAAGTAAGACAAGAGGATTTTGCTATGTTCCAACAGACACTGAAATGTGTATAACATGTTATGTTTAATATAATATTAACATGGTAAGAGTTGTAAATTATTATTACCCTACTTAACGATGAAAAACCCGAGTGATTTTGAGAGACAAAGCAAGTTGAACAAAGTCACACCTGGTGTCTAGAGAAACAAATCCAGAGACACTCCTATATGTGTAAGAAAGAACTGTATATCAAGAAGTAAGTATTTATTAATAAAACATCCGAGTCAGTGCAGATCAAGTCCATACATTTGATATTAGCCCAGAAGTCAGATAATCAGACTCACGCAGCACATGCAGTGGTACTGAATACAGGAAGATCACAGGCCGGTGGGAGGAAAGTCCTGTGGGTCCAGTGGCGGTGAAAGCATCTCCAGGGCTCTGGCTGCCATCAGCATGACTCCATATTGCTTGTCAGCAGAATGTGTAGCAGAGAGAGAGTGTGTCCCACCTCCAGGGAGGAAGACGGGCATCAGAAGGTCACGCCCATAAGGGGGCATCAGACTATGACCTGATTGACAGTTAGACTCCACCCTTTTATTCTTATTTATCAAGTTGACATGAAATTGTGTAACTACCATACCTGGTAAGCAATACAGTGCAATGGAGCTGGTGCCTATATTTAAACAACTCTAGAACCCAAACTTAAAGCCCCTGTGCCACGATTTTCCAAACATTGACTTAATAAAACTGTGTGAAGTGTTAACATATTTTACCATTTTCAATTTATTTTCCCAATCCAGGGCAATTTAATTAGACAGAAAATTACAATGTGGCTTTTGCACATAGCTTTCTGCTACTTTTTTCACTGATCTTAGCGCACTCTACTGCAATGGCTAGTGTACTTGCCAGTCTTCGTTCAGTAGTCAGTGAGCTCCTTGACAGTAAGAACGGAGCCTTTATCTCTGGCAGCTCAGCATGGAGCGCACTGCCGGATACATACCCAAAGCAGCAAAACACCAAACTCTGTGTCATCGCGTTGATTCTGACTCACAGCAGCCCTGTCCAGTCTTCCTGAGGCTGTACATTTTTGTGGGAGCAGATCGCCTCCGAAAACGTTCCCCTGGAGCGGTTCGTGTGTTTGAACCACTAACATTACGTTCTAGGCCTACCAAATGGTGCCACCAGGGTAAACAACCACAAAAGCATAACCAAAGCAACGTAAACAAATTCATCGCCATTGGTTCTGACTCACATCAATCCTATAAGACAAAGAGAAACTGCCGCTCCGAGTTTCCAAGGCCATGCATCTTCCCACGGGAAGGAGGTCTCATCTTTCTCCCAAGCAGCCCCAGGTGAGCTCCACTTGCTGCCTTGTGGTTAGCAGTGCAGTGCATCACCTCCAGCCCCCGGAGCTCCTGAACCGCCAGGGCAAGAGGTGAAGAGATGTGTGTGGAATGAATGAACAAGGGAAGGAAGTGTTAAAAGGATGCTTTGGTTGACTTCTTTCTTCCTTGAAATAGGTGGACACTCTCATAATGATGTACAAAACCCATTGTCAGTGCATCCTGGACAATGCAATTAATGGAAATTTCGAAGAGGTAAGGGTGATAAAGAATATTTTATTGACCGGATTATATACATGAGTACTTTCATGTTCTGTTCTTTATATGAATTCATGTTAAGGGGAAATTGTAATGTTCATACTCTTTGCTCTACAAATAGATCCAGCATTTCTTATTGCACTTTTGGCAAGGAATGCCCGATCATCTTCTTCCTCTGCTTGAAAACCCTGTAATTATAGACATTTTCTGTGTATGTGACTCAATTCTTTATAAGGTAAGCTTCTGCATGTCTTAAGGATGACCATGTATTTCTTCAAATAATAGTTTGTTGAAAGTCCTAAAATATTTTCAGTATATTTGCTATTTATGTCTGGAGATATGCTATCAATTGTGTTTCTGATGAGAACATCATCAGCCCAAATTATATTAAATAAAGCACACATTCATTTTCTGTCTACAATTAAGAATGATTCTAATCTAGCTGGGTTGGGGCTGGGGTGGCGATGATTCTTATTGTGCCACAGTTATGAACACATGAAATTTTAGCCAATTTTTATTAACTGTTAAGATATTTCAAATGAATAACATTTGAAATGTCTTTTTCACAATATTGGTATTTTTGGCAACAGTGAAATTAAGATTATTAATTTGGAAAGCTTTCATACCATCAACTTCAGACCATTACTGTCCAGTTTTGATGCTAAACTGATTACAGTCCCCAAGTATCTATAGCAGGATCACTAAGACATCCTGAATAGAAACAACTGGCTGCTCTACGAGCTAAACATCTTGAATGGGAAGGCAGAGCGATGAACTCCCTAATTGTCTCTTCCCTGGTTATAGTGGCAGCAAGTCAAAAAACAAAACAAACAAACAAACAAACATTACCGTCATCAAGTTGACGCAGACTCCTCCTAGTGACCCTGAAGAACAGGTAGATCTGCCCCCGAGTGTCTATTTCTCTTTCATGCGAGTGGAAAGCCCTGCCTTTCTCCTGCAGAGTGGCTGGTGGTTTCAAACTACCTACCTTGCGGACTGCAGCTCAACTCGGAACCACTGCGCCGCTGAGGGAGAAAGCCAAATTGCAATCTGAGTACTTTAAAATCAGTTTGTCTACATTAACCAGTTAAATTATAGTATAGGTGTGTGGGATGTGTCCTTTTAAAAAGTAAACTGAGTAAGGGAAGCCAGCCTGTGACTCTGGTAAGCATTTTGGAAATAAAATACAAAATGACCACGCTCAGTTTCTCAATCTGGGAGCAGTGTTTCAGCACATGAATTGGTAGGCCTCAGCTAGACCGAGGAACTTCATGTCTCCATTCTCAGTTCTCACGCATTACGTGGTGAGAAAATGCGATTGCCATTGCCTTCTCTTCTTGTTTTTATGACTCAGAAAGGATGAGATTTAGGGGCTTAGAACTCACCCATAGATTTTCATACGTACTTGGCCTCTAAGCTCTCCTTTCTAGGAAAAAAAAATTGCTCAGTGCCCCTAGCAATTAGAAACGTTTACACACTTGTATTATACCTATATATAATACAAATATAAGTCCATATTTGTATTATACCTATCATCCAGGATGAGGTGTGGGCATCTGCTTTTGCAGCTCACTGGATCAGGCTAGCATCCCAGGGGAGTGCTGTGGCCCACTTTGGAAAGCACTGTTCTGTGATCTAATGAGTAATGATAAAGAAAATTCTCTTTCCAAACAGGATTACAGCCACAGATACCCGTTGATTGGGACACAGGCATGTATCTGCAGGGCATGCTGTTTAACCCTTAACATGCAGCATCCTTGCGTTACCTAGGTTTCTCCTGCTACGGTGGCTGAGGACACCACTGGCAGCATTCACAAAGTAGTATTAACCAGCTTCTGTTGTCTTCCTTCAACCTCTTCAGTGTCCCTGCTCTAGACAGCTGGCAGCTATTATCCAGAATGCAATGCTCCGGTTCTTGTGCTGTAGGGTCAACTTTGACTCATAGAGATCCTACAGAGAGGCTTCATATAGTTCACAGGAAAATGGAAAGAGAAGATAATGGAATTTTTCTCCATATTTCTACAAAATGTCTCCCGACTCATAGAGTTTCTTAGCAACAGATTCCCCAAGCCTTTTCTTCCATGGCATGGTCAGTGGGTTTGAAATGCCAATACCTTTCTGTTAGCATCCTTCCATAAAGAATACATGGTATCAAAGACCAGTCCCCTGATACTAAGCACACCGTACATATACAATATTCTTCCATATACATGTAGTAAATACATATTTTGCTGGTAGGCTTCAAGGCTCTTATAGGTTAGTGTCTGTCTACATTTTGCAGTATCTTGGCATAGTGGGTGTAGTGGATTAAATAGATAATAGTAAAGGATTAGGGCACCAACACCTATTTTAAGGACACACAGTTTAATTGTTATCATCCAGCATCCTTACAAGGACCAAGTTAGCATGTTATTGTCTAGAAACCAAGAAGAAGAAATAATTGGCAAAAATAAGCTTTGAAAGAAATACCATAAAACATTTTGGTAACTCTCTTGTGCTACAATTAAGGTGCTTACAGATGTACTGATCCCCGCAACAATGCAGGAAATGCCTGAAAGGTAAGTTCAGTCAATAAAATGTGTTAGCTTCGTAGTATAAAACTTAAATTTATGCAAGAGAGCTTCAAAAAGTTCTTGAAAAAATCATTATATTTTAATGCAGTTTTCCCACAAACTCTTTGAACCTCCTTGTATTAGAGAAAAATATTAGAAAGTAATTCATTTTTACCAAGAATATTGTTTCCCTTGTTCCTTTGTGTCTTAATCCTTATATTTAAAACTCATTGTACAAAGTTGATGGAACTATCGTGAAATTCCTTTAAGAGCTATCAATGGAAAAAGTAGATATTTAAGTGAGATTTACTATCAAGATACTGAGAAAAGTCTTATTGGAAACTGGCTTCAGGAAGATAGAAAGGAAAAATTGGTGGAATAATGCCAAAATAATAAAGACTATAATGAAAATTATTATTTTATTGATATTAACTTTCACCTTAGTTAAGAATATCAGAGAGATAGCATAAAGGAGCTAACATCTTTTAATTAAAAAAAAGCTCAGATAATCGATTGAAATAATACCTGAAGACTTTGTCAATAAGAGAATGAGAGAAACTTGAAAAATGAGCCAAATTTTTCTATGAAAGCACAAGTCTAATGGAAATATAATTTATTTTAAGCTATGAAGGCAAATACACATATAGAACTGGATGTAGTTGGTATTCAGCACATAGTGATGGATAACATAAATTTTATTTTTGATTCACTTTTCCTCTAAATTGCTTTATTTATTTGTATAATGACTGATATTGACCTTGCCAATAGTTTCTCATAATAATCAATTTGAAACCTTTAAGCATCTAATCTATGCTCTAATTCAAGCAGGGCTTACATGTCTCTATCAGAAAAGAATGACTGTGCTTACTTAGTGAGAAACATTCATCCCAGCCTGATGACTAGTTATGTTCATGGTCAAAACGCAAACCAAACCTGGTGCCATCACGTTCATGCTGATGCACAGTGACCCTGTACAGAGTCCCTAAGACTGTGAATAGTTACAGAAGCAAACAATCTCATGTTTTTCTCACTCAGTGGATAGTGAGTTTGATCCGCCAACTGTTCAGTTAGAAGCCTGACCCACAGTGCCACCAGAGTTCCTTATCATCATGAGCTTTTATTACACACAATATGATTGTTCAGACTTTACAGAAATTAGTTCACATGTTTCCTTCAACAGGCCTGAAAGGGATTACTCATAGATGCATTTAGCTTTTAAATATACAAAGAATTCTTGTACGTTGTAGAAAAATGAAAACATGTGTAAGTGCAATTTGAAATATCACTCTTAATCACATGCCATTCTTAAGGTCTTAAATGATTTCCTCACAGACTTTTTCAAGGAATATATATAATATACTATGTGCATTGTAACAGATGGAATCATAGCATACATACTATGAAGATTTTCCATATCAGTAAATACAGATCAATGGTTTTAAAAATAGCTGTCTGTATTTCCACTATCTGGGAAATACTGTGCTTCATTCCCCATCATTGAACAGGTGGCATTTTTTAAAAAACAAGCAACTGTCAGACTATTTCAAAGTAGCTATTACAATTCAAAATTCACAAATGAGGAACTTGGGAGCAGAAAGAAAACAACGCATTTGCCCAAAGTCAGTTGGTTGGTTAGAAGAGCTAGAGTTTAACCAAGTTCTCCTTAACTCCAAACTGCCGAAGTTTCCCTGCACCGTGTCTGCCGCCAATGTATATATAACTCCAAATAGGCTTAGATATTCTATATTATCAGATGTTCTTAGATAGTCTATGTTATTAGATATTCTTAGATATTCTGTTAAGTTAAAGTATGTAGGTTATTGACTGATTTCTTCCTCCTTTCATATGTCCTCATAACCAACCATTGCAGTCTTCTGAGTAAATTCCATAATTGGTGTGCTTTTGATAATTCACCTTGCATATTTATATTTAGATAATAAGAATACAGTCTCTTAATGTAATGTCTCAGAAAGCTAAGAGTTGCAAAAGCAAATGCACATGTACATTATCATTGAAATATTTTGTAGAAAACAATTGAATCATGAGCTAATTACCATGTAGCATATTATTGATTAATCTGTACATGTCAGACTTTCAATACTTGTTATGAATTACTTAACCTAATCCTCACCATAATCCTATGAGGCAGATATGATCCTAATCTACATAGAGCATAAGGAGAAACCGGACCTTGAAGAGGTTGTGTGTTTTGATCAAGATAATGAATAGCAGACCTCTGTTGAGTCTGTCTGTCTTCAAAAGACATGTTCTTGGGATCATGGAAGAATAGCATACCTCCCTTAAAATATATTTGCCTATTGTATTTTTTAATTTAGTATTTAACACTTCGCGTTCTCTGTAGCTTACTAGCAGACATTAGAAACTTTGCTAAAAATTGGGAACAGTGGGTCGTTTCATCCTTGGAGAACTTGCCAGAAGCCCTAATTGACAAGAAAATACCAATTGTGCGAAGATTTGTATCTTCTTTGAAACGACAGACATCTTTCTTACATCTTGTTCAGGTAAGTTGGCCAGTTTAGGGTTTTTGAGTCACCATATCTAGACTAAATCCCCTGGGGAGGAAAACCAGAAATTCACAGAAGGAGATGGAGACGTACAATTACATGCAACGTGAGAGCCTCGATTGACCCCAAAGAGAAAAACAACATAGGTGGATAACACCCGTGACATTTGAATTGAGTCTGAGGTTGAATTAATAGTATGGCGCCAATGTTTAATTTAATATTTATGACTTTGATAATGTACTATGCTTTTATAAAATGATATGACATTGGGGTAGCTGGGTGACAGGTGTATTGATACTTTATTTACTAAATTTGGAACTTTTCAGCACATTTTAAATTACTTAAATGAAAAGTTAACAAAACATTTTGGATGCAAGTGAAATATGGAAGATTTATTTCCCACAGGAACCCAGCTGGTAACCATTAAGTCTGTGAGAAATGAGCCTAGGGGATATTTAAGTTTTGTGAAACATACAAACCTCACACTACTTATGGCTCTCTTAAATAGAGAAGAAAAAAGTAATTTTTAATTTAGGAATACCATGTTCGTATATTGTTAAAATTTAATAACCCTGTCCACGATCATTTGCTTTATGAAACCTCCTTGTGCCCTACAAATTTAAGAACCGACTTCGGCTATTTGCAGACAATAAATATAATGTTTACAAATCCTTATGTGGATATGGGGAAAAGACTCCTTTTCTAAGTTGAAACTATTTTTAAAATCTTAGCATATATGATCGTTGGTCTCAACGATTTGTTTCAGTTTAAAAGAAGAACATAAACATTGGTTCTGTTGTCTTTCCCTTCAGGAATGATTGTTCTCGGAGAGGAACATTTCTTGAAGTAAGATTTATGAATCGGTTTGGTGTCTTTTTTACTCACTCTTTGCAGATTGCCAGACCCGCTCTCTTTGACCAGCATGTGGTGAACTCCATGGTCTCTGACATTGAGAAGGTTGACTTGAACAGCGTTGGATCTCAGGCTCTTCTCACCCTTTCAGGCAGCGCAGACATGGAATCTGATATTTACACCGAGCGTAAGTCTGGTCTCTCTGTATAGGCCTGGGTGGGCACCACTGGCATAATGTCTAAGTCCTTGTCATGAGGGGTTGTCTCATGGCATCCATAAGCTGATAACGTCACCCACCTCCCATACCAGACATACGGAATCCTTATTAGTGCATATTAACAATTTCAATGAAAACAATATGTGATAAATATCATGGTGAATTATTTAAATGTAGTAATTCTTATATGAATTATAGTAAAAATCGTTTGGTGAAATCTTAATTGAATTATAATATTATGACATGACATTATTAGTAACTGAACAAAAGCCTTTTTAAAATTGTTTCTCCTTTTCACTTAGTTACTACTTTAGTGTCAAAACAGTTATTGATATAGGTTCATAAATAATAATTTACACAATCCTAGAGTTAAAACACCAGAAAACCTGGCAAAATCAGCAGCTGCAGAAGTCATTGGACTTTGGATTCACATTCTCACTTTGAGGCTTCTAATAAATGCCAATTTACGACTACCTCTGCTTTGCTTTTTCACTCTTTACATTCTTAGGTCGTGTTTTATTCAGTGGGCATAGTCCTGCCTTCTTGAAGGTGCACTCTTCAAGGTTTTGCCCTTTCTCCAGCCCTCATTACTGAACTCAATCCAGTCACATAAATTGTTCATCTGTGCAAACCAATAATCCATGTATTTTGGTCTTAAAAAATGTCCCATACAAAATGTTACCATTGGCTGAATTAATGACAATATCAAGAGAATTACGTTATGGCCATGGGGATAGCATATAATGTTCTCTAACAAAATAATAATGATGCCTCTTTGAGCTCACACTTAATCATAGCCCCAATCTAAGAACAATTAGTTTTTATAACAAGGCCCTGCTCAATACTTGCCCTTATGAAAATATGGATTCTTTAGCAAAATGTGTGAAGAAACTAGATGGAGCCGGGCTCTCAGAAAGAAGAGCATCGGGAGTCTTCAAGGTTTGTTTTCAAACAAGTAGCCATTGAACTGAGGCATCAACTAAGTTCACATGGAAGAAGCACACCAGCCTGTATGATCCAAGGACTGTAAAAATTAATAAAATCTAAATTCACAGGAGGGAACAGTATTAGAAATTAAATTTTGAACACCTGGTTTGCAGAAGGCTATGGATGGCAATAAAGGCCCAAGTTTACAGGGTTCCCACGTGACTTAAGCCTCCAATAACCTGGTCTGAGCCAGGGATGGGAATGACCTCGTTATTACCCAGAATGTACTGTAGAGTGGATTATCGTGGTTGTAATTAGATTTAAATGTGACATCATGTATTTGATCTCTCATTACATCCAATGTATATTTGTTCTAGTTTTTAATATTTTCTGTTTTATTTTCCATTGGATTTTTTCTTTGTTTCATTTTGTCATTGTTGTTGGGTTGTTTATTTGTATAGTTTCCTGCATATGAAGTCCAAGATAGGTAAATCTACAGAGACAGCAATTGGATTAATAGGTTCCTAGGGGGTAGCAGGGGAGGTTGGTGGGAAATGAAGAGCTAACAACAACGAGTACAAGGAAGAAGAAATGTACTAAAACTGATTTTGGTGTTGAGTACACAACCCATTTGAGTATGACTGAACTACTAAAATATATGATATATCAATAAAACTGTTAAAAATTTTAAAAACAAACAGCAGCAATGAAAACAACAGCTCAAGTTTGTAGCATAAATTGAAGCATATTTTAATATGGATAATGATGACCATTCTGGTTGGAGCACATTAGAAGATTCCAAACATAAACTAGCATAATTTTAGCCTTGTAGGAATACATGAAAGTTGGACTTTGAAAAAAAAATTGGTATTATAACGAACTACAGGAACATTTTAATATAAAGTAATATATTTCGGCTGAAACACTTTTTATAAATGTTATAAACATTTCGTTGTTACCTCCTCTGACAGGGTCACAGGGTATGGTCCACAGCTCCTCCCGCCCCCACCACCGGGCTGTGCATGTTTGGCAACATCCTGGATTCCTGTCTACTAGTTATCAAGAGCAGCACCGCCCCCTCCCGCCCTTATAACCCAATCTTCAGACTTTGCCAAAGGTGCCGCAGACACAGCAGTGCATCCGTTTGCGAGTACTCCTAGTATATAGAAACATTTTTAATAAAATAGAACTGTTTTCTTAAAACAGTTGCCTTTAGTGCAAACACCTGGAAAATGCCGAATGATTAAGAGGAAAGCAAAGCCACCACAGAACTGACCGCAATGATTGACATACAATGTGTCCCCCCTACCCCACCCCACCCCCACCCCCGGCCCAGGGGGACAAACAACAGAAACGTGGGTGAAGGGAGACAGGGGACGGTGTAAAATATAAAAATAAAAATAATTTCTAAATTATCAAGGGTTCACACGGGTGGGAGGACGCAGGAGGGAGGGGAGAAAGGAGAAGTTGATATCAAGGGCTCAAGCCAAGTAGATAGAAAATGTTTTGGAAATGATGATGGCAACATATGTACAAATGTGCTTGATAAAACTGATGTATGAATTGTTGTAAGAACTGTAAGATCTCCCAGTAAAATGATTTATTACAATTAATTTTAAAAAGAAAGAAAAGCCACCCATAATCTCTTTGCCTGGGAATTACCCCGGCTGTATGGGTGTGCATTTTCTTCTGGTTGTACATTTTATATCTGCACATTCCTGCGTGTTCTAAGGAGTCGTGGAGGCACAGTGGTTACGTATGCAGCTTAGATATGCTGATCTAAAGGCCAGCAATTTGAACCTTCTCCTCAGGAGAAGGTTGTGACAGTCTGCTACCATAAAGCAAGCAATATCGTGTTGCTGTGGATCCTACACCATGTGAGGCCAGTGGTGTAGAACCTGGAGGAGGAGTTCTTCTCTGTCCTCTGGGGCCGCTGTGAATCAGAATTGACTCCAGGCAGCAGGTTTGTGGTTTGTATACGAGTATGTGTTTTCCACGGTTAGTATCATACGGATTTGAAGCATATCAAAGTTATATGGCAACAAAACACTGCCTTTTAATGCAGAGACCCTCTGTTCAGGTTTGGATTATCTGATAAAATGTAAGCAACTGGGCTTGATTTACAAGGAATAAAATTCTATTGGGGTTCCTACTCCCGTAAAGAGGTACAGGCTTGGAGATTCAGAGAGGCAGTTCTACCCTATCCTGTGGAATCGCTATGGGTTGGCATCAATTCGATGGGAGTGAGTTGGGATTTGATTTCTCACTTTGTGGCCTTGGGTGGCACAGACATCTCATGCATGGCTGCTTAACCAACAGCTTGGTGATTCAGTTGGAGTCCACCCTGAGAGCACTTGGAGGAAAGGCCTGGTGATCTATTCCCAAGCCATCAGCCACTGAAACCCTTATGGAGCAAGTTCTATCTACTCTGTGTACATGGGATTGCCTGCCTTTTAAAAATGCCTCCCTTCCTTGTGGAATGACAAAACTGCAACCTTTTAAAGCCTCCAAGAGTGCTGTTTCCTAAAATCAATTTATGTACCCTGATTAAATAAGCCTCAACGACAACAATAGCTTACCATTGCCTTTAGTTCTAAATGATCTTTAATTTTTATATGATAAAAGGTTCGTGCAAGTGGCACAATTCTGTCGTGCAGAATTTAATTTTTTTGCTAAAACCAATTGACCTTAAAGAATGCAGGAAATCAAAAGACTTGGCTTAATTTATTTATTAGCCTTTAGCCAATCTTATCCACTTAGTGAAATACTGTAATCAAAATGAACATTCAACCATACGTATTGACATTTTAATAGTCTAGCCATCTGTAGATCTATATAGAACATAAAGAACTGTATTTCTGCATATGTCAAGATTTATCCATTTATCACTAAAACTATGCCTGATTAAGGACTAAAATGTTGTTACTATTCTCCAAATAAGAAGGTAATTCTGTTTACCCATTTAGCGAATTTATCTATATTTCTGTTGTATGCTATAACACGTTGATTCATTCCTGGTTATAGATTTTTCTCTTGGATTCAAAATAGAATGCAATCATCTCCTTTCTTTTCTTTTATTTTCTCACGGTAGATGACTCTATCACAGTGTTCCAAGAACTGAAGGATCTCCTAAAGAAAAATGCCACCGTGGAGGCTTTTATTGAATGGTTGGATACCGTGGTAGAGCAGAGAGTTATTAAGGTACCTTTCCATGACAGCTTAGAACTAGAATTTTCATGAAGACAGGTTGAGGTGGTTGTGTGTCAAAAGGCTTTATAAAATCAAACTCAGCCACATGTGACCGATTGGAGAATTGGGGGCTTGGGTTCAACTTTGTACTTGATGCCTTGTCCAAGGCATAGGAGACACTCCGATCTTGCTGTCAGTCAGTAAAGTTACAGCTGAGTAGAGCCAATAGTGAAAGATTAACTTAGGAGTTGGAAAGATCTAGGCCTCAATTTTATTTTTTTGAGAAACACTCGTAGGAAATACGGTGTTAAGCATTTGCAGTTCTGCGTTGCAAAAGTTCAGGATTTTGTATTTCCTACATGGCTTCTTCACCTCCTTCGGTTAACCTTTCAGTCCGCCATCATGAAGCCAGGCCGTGAGAACAGACACAGCATCGCGTTGGTGCGAGTCATTCCATAGCAAGGAAACTTGCTTTCTTCTGGAGGAAAACAGATGATCTTTTAGGACCAGAGATGTTGGACTTCACCATTTACAGAAATAATAGAACCCTTTTTTCACGCATCACCTTCTGTCCCTTTATTTCATTTCTTGTTGTAAATTCTATCAGATAACAAAATCTTACAGAATAAAAATCTATAGTTCTTAAAATTATAGGTAAATGGCCTCACATTTAAAATCCCTGGACAGCATCATTTTACTTGATGAGGTAAATGGCAAGCCACACCATCTACCCATTTGTGAGGCAGTTTATTTACCTCTTGATCGAGTTTGGGTTGCATGTAGCAATGAGATGACAGATTTCATACTTTCGTCTTGTCCGTTCACTTGTAGACCAGCAAGCAGAATGGGAGATCCTTGAAGAAGAGGGCACAAGACTTTCTGCTGAAGTGGAGCTTTTTTGGTGCTCGAGTAATGCATACTCTCACCTTGAACAATGCAGCCAGTTTTGGTATCCTATGTGCTTTTTAAAATGTTTTTAAATGAGTGATATCATTTGTCCTGTCAATTTTAAAAACATGTGGTAATGTACCTTCTCAAACCATACCTGAATATTGGGCCAGTAGACAAGACTTTTGGAGTAGACCAAATCCAGATTAAATTGCAGCGCTGTCTCTCTCTGGCTATGGTCATTCCCTAAAATAGCTTATTTTTAAAAGGAGGGAATATAGTCTAGTGGGAAGCACTTTAGTGAGTTGGTGCATATCAAATCAGATTGCCTAGAATCCTGTGAACACCTAATAAATAGCAGCCATCAGCATCCCATTTATCAGTTCTTGCATAAATTTATCAGTGCTTGCGTAAATTTACAAACAAGTAAGTCATAATTAAGGTATTATTTTCCAAAGGAGCTACTCGTTGCAATATGGCAAATTGTCGCATCTTTTCTGGGCCACATAGGGGTCCCCTAGGAATCAAAGAGCAACTTAGAAGATAGGCTGTCATATATTTTTGAACCATCTTCCTTGGCTTATATGATTTGTAAATCAAGTAAGCTAACTGCCTTCTTTTCTTTAAAATGTCTATGATTCTACTATTCTTCAGATATAATGTTAAATGTGTGGGAAGTAATTCAGCACTGCACACTTTGAGAAACCTTTGGTTCCCAAAATAGATTAGAATTTAATGAAATTATTTAACTGAATTATAATTTAACTAAATTAACCAAATGGATTATAATCTAACTAAATTATTAATCATGACCCAATGAAATCGGTGCATTTGTATCGAGGAATGAATAACACTTGTTGAGCCTGTTTGATGATGCATCAGAGTTAAAGTTTTTAAAAAAACTGTACAGCATGGAAGCTCAATTTCACTGTGAAAAAAAATATTTCCAGTGAGAAATCTGTTGAATAATTAAAACAAGTCAACTTCCTCCTTCCTCCAGGACCTCTTCAGAACATCTTTCACATGAAACTTAATTCTTTTGATTTTGCTTTAATTAAAAAGTATTTTGTATCAAGTCTAGGAAGACATCTTCTTACTTGATCCACTTACCCCCCGCCCCCAGACTATTGTCTAATTATTTAGTACAAAGTAAACAGAAATAGAGCAGAATGGAGCTCATTCTCCTCAGGTGAAGGCTTATCACCTTCCAATGTGTGCCCTCTTAAAGCATAAAGCATGCCTCACTTTCATCCGTATTTCCCTTTGATGTAATTAGTGGCTAAAGAGCCAGCAGGACAGTACACAGTGAGTTGGGCAGGCGGGACACAGAAAGATTAGAGACCTACGTTAAGCATGTTGGTCTTAGGAGGTCATTTAAAGTCCAACAAGTATTTGTTTATTTCAGTTGCTCCTTGTAAAGTGTTGCGAGATGGTCACAGAGATAACTTGACTTCTCTCTTTTTCTCCTTTCCCCTCCTTCTCCACCTTTGCACCCCCCCACCAATCTCACAATGCTCTCTTTTCCTTTCTGGTCCATAAACAAGGTTCTTTCCATTTGATCCGAATGCTTCTTGATGAATATATTCTCCTGGCCATGGAGACACAGTTTAATAATGACAAAGAGCAGGAGTTGCAGAATTTATTGGACAAATATATGAAGAATGCAGGTAATTTAGCTCTAAGAGAAACCTCTCTCTCTGTCCTATGGGGTCACGATCGACTGGGTGTGTGTGGATTTGGTTTAGGCTTTCTCTTGTGATTCATGTCTTTGTTTAAAATCTAAGAAACTGCGAGTACTTTGGTAGGTGGGTTTAAAAAACTCTTGAAGAGTCTTCCCCAAACATGTTGCTATTTACATAATATGCCAAGCACCCTTGTAAGGAGCCCTGGTAGCATAGTGGGTGATAAGTTGGTCTGCTAACCTTGAAGCTAGCAGTTCAAATCCAACACCTGCTCCATGGGAGAAAGATGAGTGAGGATTCTGTTTCTGCAAAGATGTACATACGCCTCAGAGACCCACCATTCTACTCTAGATGGCCATCCCGAGTTGGAATCAACTCGATGGTAGAGAGTTTGGTGAAGTGTCCTGGTAGCTCTGTGGGTTAGGCATTGAACTGCTAACCTCACCAGTCACTCCCTGGGAGAAAGATGAGGCTGTTCCCATGAAGAACGATAGTTTCAGAACCCTGTGTAGTGTTGTTCGCTTTGGAATAGCCTCCAAGACAGTGGGTGGAAGACTACAGATCACTGGTTCCCCTTTCGCAATTATCCCTAGTGTGGTCAAAGTAGGGGTCCCCGGTGATGCAGTGGTTAGGTGCTTGGCTCCCCAGTGAAAAGTTGACAGTTAATTCACACCAGTGCTCTGCAGGAAAAAGACCTAGTAGTCTGCTTCTGTAGGGATTAGCGTCTTGGAAACCCTAGGAGGCAGTTAGACTCTGTCCTCTGGGCTCAGTATGAATTGTAATCTGTTTAACAGTGATGGGGAATGGGCAGTTGAAATATTCTACTTGAAACTCAGGAATATAATTGATATTCTTAATATTTGGGGATTTTAATGCAGTACGAGAAGTGGCTGATTTAAAGAAAACAATCGCTCCAATTCAAGAAAACACATGTGTCTACTGTCTTAGAAATGGTTAGCCACATGAGGTATAGTAATTAGAGGAGAAAGGGCGCATATCCGTATGGGTCTGATGACGTATACTGGTATTTTGATCCCAGAATGGATTAATTAGTGCCCTCAGAATGCGTCCATCCCAAGATTTCTCAGGTAACAAAAACCACCACTATTGCCAACACCAAAGGCCTACTCCCTCCCCTTGCTTCCCCAGGAGAACTTTTCTCAGGTGCCTCCAGATTATTGTGCAATCATGGAACATTTCTAGTTTCATTCATTTAGGCTCATCCACTGGGAATATGGGAGTGATTTTCGATTTCCCATTTTTAAAACTCTTTCCAGATGCAAGTAAAGCTGCCTTCACTGCTTCTCCAAGTTCATGCTTTCTCGCCAACCATAATAAAGGGAGCATGGCTGCCAGTGACGCCGTGAAGAACGAAAGCTATGTGGAGATGACCTATCTTCCTCTGCCCGCCGGTCAACCTGCAGGTTTAACCCCTGCTCTGCAGCCATTCTCAGCAGGAAACACGGACAACCTGCCCCTCCCAGGTATGCTGGCGAATGACCAAAAGAACCCCTCAGGCCGCAACAAATCTTAGGAGAGCCTATTTGTTTGTTTGCTTTACAGCTATTGTCCTTCCAAGATACCAAGGATTAAAAAAGCAAAACTTAACTTGCTGTATAATGTTGCGATTTTCCCCAATTTCCATCCCCATCCTGATTATTAACAGGAGTACATGTAGATCCGTTATGTTAGTAATCTTCATTTAATAGAAGCACATAGGACTGACTTGCAAAGATGAATCCTTACGATGTTAAAGATTAACAAGAAACGATTGCTTGCTTATTTTTCACCTTTGAAGTGACTTTATCTCCCTTTATTAAAAAGTGAATATGAAAAACAACAATAACCAAGTGACCTGCGGGCCTCTTTGTGCCAAAGCAAATCTCTAGTGTCTTGAGCTAGTTAAGAAACAGCACTTGACATTTGATGATTACCTTGAATCTTTTCTTGAAGTCCTTTTATACACAATGGAGGGTCTGTGAGGTACAAATGGTTAACACCTTTGGCTGCTAATGAAAAGGTTAGAAGGGTCAATTCTATTCAAAGGTGCTTTGGAAGAGAGGCCTGTTGAGTTAGTAAAACACCGACCCCTCAAAGTCCTGGGGAGTACATTTCTACTCTGACACCTAGGGGGTCCCCATCAGCCTGAATTCACTAAATGACAGATAAAACCAAAACCAAAACCAAGCTCACTGCCATCCACTCAAAATAACCTGGGGGTGGGTGGCGTTCTGAGACTGTGTCCGGGAGTAGAAAGGCCAGTCTTTCTCCCGTGGAGTTGCTGGTGGTTTCAGACTGATGACCATGCAGATCGAAGGCCAACATGTAACCGTTAAGCCACCAGGGCTCACTACTTCATTGGAAATCATCCAATTTTAAACCTGAAAGAACCTTATAAACGAGGACCCTCATTATACCAATGAAAAGTGAAAAGCCCAGGGATTAGTGTAGCTTGAATGATTATTTGAATCAGCTGCTTTGAAGCCATGTTTTTTCGGGACTTACAGTGTACTTTAATTATGACAAATATCCTGACTGTTCATGGTTGTCTTTGCCCAACGTATTGTTAGAAATATGCTGCCTGCAATGTTGATGTGCATAATTTGCCGAAGTTGACATTCTCTTGCCAACCTCCGGTGAGAAATAAAGATAGGATTTACAAGATGGTGGTAGACGAGGCGCTCTGGTGGCATCGTGGCTATGGGCTGGCTGTTACTGAGCAGTTACCAGTCGGAAAGCACCAGTCACTCCTCAGCAGGGAAAGATGAGGCTTTCTCCTCCTGCAAAGCATTGTACTCGCTGGAACCCCCGGGGCAGCTCCCCCCTGTTCTGTAGGGCCGCTGAGAGTCTGAGTTGACCCCATGGCAGTGAGTTTGGATTTTGAGTGTGGTAGGGAAAGCCAATCACAGCGAACGCTCAGAGAGAGAGACGTTCTTCTCTCACAACTAAATTGTGATGGAGTCCCTGCAAACAAGTTCAGTCGTCTGTTTCTATCACCCTAAAAAGCAGACCATGAGATCATTTTTCAAAAGGATGGAGAATTGTGAGCAGCATGCCTCTTGCTCTCACTGGGCTTGGCCCCTGGGCACTCTCGCTCCAGAGCAGCAGGGCCCACAGATGGGTCCTCAACAGCCACAGCTTCCAGAGCGCTCCACCACTGAGAGATATCCATATATTGTGACGGTATTTTAAAACTTGGGATTTTTGATATTCCTTAATTCTGTTATTCTTGGAAAGTGGAGGTGAGCCAAGTTGGAAAATTAGTAACTTACTCAAACATGTTTTAAACACGAGCCAATCTACATTAATAACGACTGAAAATGTTACTGAATGAATGGTCACTAAGTGAATGCTCCGGTAATATTTTCACAGGTCAAATGGAGCTTTCCCAGAGTGCTGGTCATCTGATGACGCCACCCATTTCTCCGGCCATGGCAAGCCGAGGAAGTGTCATTAACCAAGGACCAATGGCAGGGAGACCCCCAAGTGTGGGCTCAGTACTGTCAGCCCCATCACACTGCTCAACATACCCAGAACCCATGTATCCTACGCTCCCTCAAGCCAACCCTGACTTTTATGGGACCAGCTCTAACTATCAGACTATGTTTCGATCACAGCCCCATGCTCCAACCGGACTCTATTCTCACCGCGCCGAGCATGGTCGGTGTATGGCGTGGAGTGAACAACAGCTTTCTAGAGACTTCTTCAGTGGCAGCTGCGCTGGGTCTCCATACAGTTCCCGGCCACCTTCTGCCTACGGCTCATCCTCACATGCCCAAGATTCACACAGTATGCAGTTTTTAAATACAGGGAGTTTCAATTTCCTGAGCACTACAGGAGCTTCCGGCTGCCAAGGAACAGCACTGCCTCCTCAGTCACCGAATGGTATTGACATGTTTGAAGCAATTCTCCTGGCTTTTGAGATGGGAATCTCTCCCAGCTGAGTAGAATGGCGTCTCAGTAAGACTTCTAAAGATCATGGAATCTAAACCATCAAATCTGATTTTTCCCACAGAGACACATCTTTTACAATACTTGTGACTATGAAAGTTGCCCTTCTCAATGTCACAATGAAGGCGGATTATACCCTAGGGTTAAGGTTCAGCTTCATGGCCCAACTGAAGAATGTTATGTCTGTTAAAATAGTTTAAGTGAATAATCCTTCTTCCAGAGAATTAAAAGCAATCCTTCTTCCAGATCAAAACAATTCCCTTTGTGAGGATAGTAAGATGCTTGAAGTTAAAGAAGGTTGTGAAGGCCTCTTGGTTTGGTCAGCCACAAGATAGGGATTATGCGTACGCTGGTCTGAGGCTTCTCTCCTAATTGTAGGTCAGCCTTTCTCCCAGAATCATGAAGCTACAAACAAACATGGTTTGACAAGTAGTGAAATCTCTATGAGAAGCTAAACGAATTTTTCCCCATAGGCAGAATTTGCTAATTTGTTCTTGTTGTTAAGTGCCATCCATTTGGCTCTGACTCATAGGGAGTCAGTCATAGACAACAAAGTGAAGCAGTGGAGGGAAGTGAAAGAAGAGAGGGATGTAGTCTGTGTTGCAAAATTCATGCTGGGACAGCCCTCTGAATGTTTTTTAAAGCAAAAACAAATATGGTGAACATTTTTATAAAACTACAAGTTCAACTCTATTAAAAATGTGCATACGATGTACTATTTACAGTTCGGTATCTTCAAGGCTCTCCCCAGTGACCTGGACTCCTTTTCCTTCCCTGGAATGCTCTTCATAACAAGTTAACACGTTTTCCTTGCTTTCTGTTTCAGGGTACTATGGAAGCAATGTAAACTACCCAGAGTCTCACAGACTCGGCTCAATGGTGAATCAACACGTTTCCGTCATCAGCAGTGTCCGCTCCCTGCCACCCTACAGTGACATTCATGATCCACTTCACATTTTAGACGACAGTAGCAGAAAGCAGCCCGGCACCTTTTATGCAGACACAGCACCTTCAGTTGCTTGTCGGACCCCAGTAGTAGGTAAATTTATTTAGTCCTTCTTGAAAACATTTATAAAAGTCATCATGCTCGGCTATGCAGCGTTATCAGTGAGGGAGGAGTGTTGAGATACCCCGAACACTCGGTTGCTGTGCTTGGATGATCACTTTGAATCTGGAGTTCCTGTTTTGTATTTGAATATACATTAGTAAGAGTACAGCTGCTGTTGTTACAAACCCTGGAGTCATGTGAAAGGAAGCACCGGGGCATCTGTCAGCCACATGATCAGTTGTGGATCAGACTATTGTGAGCCACAGGCTGACCTTTAGTAGATTGCTACCTACTGTCGTTCAGTCTCTCAGTGTATCTACCACTGTGCCACCTGTGACAAGAACCGCTATTCTTCCCGGAAAAAGAGCTGGCATCTCTTCTGTTTCAACATTTAATACGGTTTGTCAAATGCAAGGCAGTGTGGCTGGCTTCTTTCTCACTCACGCTTGTTCCTTGTTGGAGCCAGGGACAGTGACAAGATGTGTCTTTGGACCCGAGAGTTACCATCAGTACCCCAAAACCTGTGAAAATTTTCAAAAGCTGGCCTGTCCTGCAGGGTACTGGCATTTTTTTCTATCTTAAAGAATGTGTAATCAATCATTTCTGTAGAAAATTTTGCTATTTTTATCCTTCTATAGCACACAATTGAAGCAAAATGGGCAAAACCATTTTCTTGCAAAGAATTGAACTAGCATTTTCTTCCAATCAGGTTTTTACCATTGTAAACAGCAAGAAGGACATTCTGTGACTTACACTGGTGACACCAGCAGCACCCATTAAGAAGTAGTAGTAATGCAATAAGTGAGCAAAATACATAAAGCTGTGAACATACATGCATAGATTTCATCTCTAAAATTATTGATATCGTCTACGTATATGAACAGAATTATGAAGGTGGCATGGCTGTGTTTATGCACGATGATTGAGATCTTCCACTAGCATCCAGACGCGTGTGAGTAAAGGCCATTGACACCCAAGTGAAGCCTAAGGGAAAATGAGATCCTTTTCATCGGTCCTCACTCAGTGGGCTTCTTCAGTAACTCAATAGGAAGCACTCTTCCTTTCCTGTGACCATCCCAGATGCTCCCTGCGCTGAGTCTGCCAGCCTGTCTTCGGCTACCTGCAAATTGTCATTGCTTCTAGGTTCCTCTAATGAAGCAGAAAATTCCACTTCAGGAAGTTTCCTCATCATAAGACTAAAATGTACTGTGTTGCGACTGTTACTATTAGTTCTGTTGACTTGTGGAAGCTTTGATGGAACATAGGTTGGGTGTGTCGTGGACTCAGAGTTTTAGTTGTTAGAACTGGCTTATATATAAACGGACAAGAGGGCTTCACAAAGAAAAGAGAGACTAGAGTAAATGGGTTACAAAATGTAAGGAGAATTGGTTCCCTCTATAGATCCCATTAGTTAGGAAGCCAAGTGCTTAACTACAGAGAAGATGGTAGTCAGGAAAAAAGAGAACATGCTAGAAACAGCTACACATAAAGGAGATGTAAGGGGAGAAAGCCAGGTCCTAGAACAATTTACAGAAAAGCTAAGAGGAGGATATGGTAGTGAGCAGGATGGAGTGCCTGCCCGCAAGAGTCTGTACTGGAGTAGACAGCAACATACAGTATTTTAAAAGTACATTAAAGTGATCGTTTCAAGTACTATGAAAATGATTAAATAAGATGAGGTGGAAGAAAGTGGTAGAGGAGAAGCATTAGGTAAGTTTGTTAGGACCAGAATACCAGGGAAGGAACAGCAGAATTGAAAGTTGGGTGGTGAGAAGGAGGTCACCCCTAGGGGAGCATTCCAGGTAGAAGAGCAGCAAGTGCAAACCCGAACCCCACATGGTCCAAAAACAAGCTCATTGCTGTTGAGTTGATCCAACTCCCAGCAGCCCTCTAAAAATCGAGACATGCTTGGAATGTCCAACAGGCAGAACGAAGGTGAATGAGACTTGAGCATGGTGAATCAAAAGGATATAATGGAGCCAAATAAATCTGAAAGGCAGAGGACAATGCGTACAGGGTGGACGATGGCCTGGCTTTTCCCAAGAGTAACTGGAAGCAATTGCAATGTTTGATTGGAAGAGTGACAATTGTATATGTATGATTGCCATATCATTCTGCCTGCTTGCTTCAGGGTAGAGCATCGGGAGGGATGAGGGGCATGAGACCAGTTAGGAAATTTCTGTGTTCATCTGGGTAGGAGAAGATGATGCTTCAGACTAAGATTGTCAACTTGCAGGTGGAAAGAGGTGGGAGATTGGGGGCATATTTTGGTGGTAGAGAGGGCATAGTTTAAGCAGAAATTAAGTTTTTTTTTCCCTAATGTGTGGAAGAAATCACAGTTGTAAGCAGTTTGAATCCACCCACCAGCTACAGGGGAAAAAAGAGCTGGTGTACTGTCCTATAAAGCATATAGCTGAGTGTCTATGCCTCCGTATGCCTGACGGGGCTGCGCGGATTGGGATTTGACTTGATGCATACAACAAAAACATGGTAAGTAGGCAAAATGGAACAAAATATGAGGATTGTCTGACAAGTCCTTTAAATTTAGTATACCAAAAAAATCAATTTTCAATTGTATATTTTTGTGGTTGTTTGTTTGTTTGATAATTGTATTTTCTGTTTCAGCATCCAGTTTGCAAACTTCAATTTCTTCCACCTCTTCCCAGTGTATGTATGGAACCTCTAATCAGTATCCAGCTCAAGAAACTCTGGATTCCCATGGTACAAATGGGGGGGAAATAGTGTCTTCTTCTCTGCCACCTATCAACACTGTCTTCATGGGAACAGCAGCTGGTGCTGGAGGGACATAAACCAACAGTGTCAGGGGAGGGGTGAAACTTTCAACAGTTCTACTGCCCAAACATTGTTCGCCACTCAAACAACTTTGAGAGTAAAGAAACAGGACTATGCAGTGACCTGATATTTGCTTCGATTCATTAGTCCCAAATGATGGATGCCGCCAGGGAGAAAGGAGATACTGGCAGAGTTCGACACAAGTTGTTTAAAATGTGATCTCATAATTAATCAGAGTTTCAAATATTGTCAAATGGAATCAGTGAAGAGTTAAAGAAGCAAACTTTTCAACTATGAAGATTCAATATTTCACTTTCTAACTTATTGAAAAGTTGTGTGCTGTTTTAGCTATGCTTTCTAAAAAGGAGAAAAGTTTATTTAATTGTTTTATAATACCTTTAATTTATTAGGGTCTCAGAATCACTGTTTACTATCCCCGATTTGACAAAACGTCAAATGTGTATGTTCTACCTCCTATGGAAATGTTTACAAGGTCAAAATGTAATGCAATTCAGCCCATACCAGAGTTGCTTGACTTTCAGCTCCCTCTGCATTAGTGTGATGGTATCTGTGACATGGCAGTATCGCATTTCTATGTAACTCGACAGAGATGATAAATGCTTTCAGTTCTTTATTCTAAAAAGACTAAAAAAAATAAAATAAACGATGTCTGGAAATATGTTTCATGTTTGATTGCTCTCAGAGTTGGTGTTTCTAAAAAAAGCTGGAGATTTGCAGGCAGACTCCCTATGGATATCAAAATCGAGTGCTCAAAATGCCATCATTCCAGAGTATTTGCATAGCCTACCCTAGTGTATATTCTAAAGAAATTGGTATACTGTCTGAACTCCTATAAACTTTGGAAGCAGTTATTAATCCACTATCTTGCTTAGGCACTGAGAGATCGCCTGAAGGCAAGGGCCAATTTGCTCATGACGTACAAATTAATAAATTGGGTACACCAGGTATCTACCTCGGTTTCTTTCTCTTTTTCATACTGTGTTGTCTTCATTGACATTTTCTACTTCTAGGCTCTAATATCCATTGCAATGGCTCCGCAGAACTCATAGCCAATACTGATGATTAAAGGGCTTATTAAAGAAGTGACCACCTTCCACGCATAAACGCTGAAGATGAATGTGTGCATAAGTAAGTGTGGTGAAGAAGGCTGATGGTGCCCGGCTATCAAGACCTATAGCGTCTGGGGACTTAAAGGCTTGAAAGTAAACAAGCGGCCATCTAGCCCAGAAGCAACAAAGCCCACATGGAAGCAGCACACCAACATGTGTGATCATGAAGGGCCAAAGGGACCAGCCTTTAAACACCAAAGGCAGGGAGAAAAGTCATATCCTTGTCAATGAGGGTGGTGCGCGATGGAGACCCAATGTCCATCTCCAGACAACTGGACATACCTTGCAGAGGGATAGTGGGGAGATGAGTCACTTAGGGTACAGTATAGCAACAATGAAGCTCACAATCTTCCTCTAGTTCTTAAACGCTTCCTCCCCCCAACTACCAGGACCCCAGTTTCGCCTTGCAGACCTGGTTAGACCAGATGATGCACAGCGGTACAGAGGGGAATTGGAAGCGCAGGGAATGTAGGACACGGAAGAAACTCTCAGGACCGGGGGTGAAGGGGGCGATATCAGGAGGGAAAGGGGAGGTAGTAAGGGGGAATGGATCACAGGGAGCCACATATGGCCTCCTCTCTGGGGGACGGGCAGCAGCGGGGTGGGTGAAGGGAGGCGCCGGACAGTGTAATGTAAGATACAAAAATAATTTATAAATTATTAAGGGTGCATGGGGGAAAGGGAAGGGGAGGGGGGGAAAATTTAAAAAAAAAGGAAAATGAGCGCATTCCGGGAACCCAAGAGGCAAGAAAATTTTGGGAATGATGAGGGCAACAAATGTATAGATGTGCTTTACACAATTGATCTATGTATTGTGACGAATTGTATGAGCCCCAATAAATTGATAAAAAAAAAAAAAAAAAAGAAGTGAACAGGCTGTAATGCCAGGGAGAAAGACTCAGAATAGTTGTTTATCAGGACATATTCCAAAGTTCTTTCATCTCTACTAATAAATGCTCAAGGGGGAATAGCACTCCTCTACAAACCTCAGTACGAAGGCATTCAGCTTACGCCCCACAGGTCAGCAAACCAGTTCCCTGAAAAAAGTGAACAGAGGCACCCACTCCAATGAGCCTCAGCCTGAAGGCACTCAGCTTCACTTGTCTGGGTCAGTAAGCCCATCTACCCAAAGTTAGTGCCCAGAGGCACCCCGCTCAGGAAGCCGGGCTTCTGCACAAAAGCACTGAGCTTTACTTGCTCTGTGGGTTGAGAAATCCACCACATGTTCCATGTTCTGGTTCCTGGTTTTGCTGTTGCTGCTCTGATATTATAGCTGTCTTCTGAATCCAGGGGATACAGTGATCTCAGTTTCTATAGGACACATTGCATTCCTGGCGATTGCTGGTAATTCAATCCCACCTCCTGCATCTGAGATGTCTCATTTTATATGCAGCAGGATGGCATTACTGGGAAGCCTGTTCATAATTACAGGTGAGCCCTATCAATATCTTCTCCCACCTTCGTACCAGACCCATGCAGGACAACGTTGTTTGGTAGGAGTTGAGAGTTTGGGTAGAAGAACCATATTAAATAATTCACTGCCCGTGGACATGTTGTAAGATTCATGCTTGAGAATAAGACTCTTCATTCATTCTACAGGCATATTCTTTGTCTTGCAACAGGCCTCTTGTATTTTGTATTAAGGATTAGATGACACTATAAGACTCAAGTTTATTATGAAGGAATCTGAAAACCTTCCGCCACCCATTGCACATCATGGTGCAATTTGCTAAAGACAAAGTGTGGAATTGTTTTCAATGTGCACTAAACAATTACCTGTGGAGCTGTGGGCTTGTTGCTACTGTGCTCTCAGGAGGATGCTCAGTAGTGTGTCACTTATAATCTCGTAATTGAGCAGAAATATCTTAAACAGTAGAAAGTCCTAGAAAATAGCGAACTAAATATTCTCTTCTTTGCTGTGGTAATATGGAAGGAGTCAAAAGGAAGGAGAAACCGATAGAACCTGGGCTGAAATAGTAAAGAAAACAGCTTCAAGTGATGTTCAGACATGAGTTTTGAAAGCAAAACCACAATTTTACTGTATTGTAATTATACTTCCCATCTACCATGCATCAGACACTGCACTAGATACGGAGGAGGATGCAGAGATGGAAAGACCCTTCACTCACCTTTACTACAGTTTGGTTTAATGAGGTATAGTGTGATAGGCAGTTGAGGCTCACCGAAGGTATTTTTTAATAGAAATGGAATGTGGGAAAATTAATATTTACAGAATACCTAGCCTTAATTGAAGGGAGGAGGTGGATTGGATAAAGGAGGAATTAGATGAAGGAATGGGTGTTTGGGTTGCTGTTTCTCTGATTCAGATTTCCAGTTGATCAGCACTGAGACTACATGGAATCAAAGCAAATGAAAAGGGGAGAGAGGTAGAAACAAGCATCACTTCAAAGAATAGCTGGCAGTATGGGGAGGAGCAACAGCAAGCAGTATGTCAAGAATGACTGAAGTTTTCCTTAGCCCTTTTTATTTACAAAGCATTCCATCTAAAGAGTTGACCTTCTATAATGATACCCCTTTGTAGTGGACAAATTACTGAATCAGAGACAAGTGAGCAATGCCTGTGAATTTTATGAACATCTGGCGGATAACCAATAAAGCTAGATCTGGGTGCCAAGAAGAGGCAGATGACTAACTTGGTCTTTCCCCAGGCTGTGGAACTGGAATTGATCTTGGTTGGCTAGGTATCAGTGGTTCTCAGTGGAAGCCTCATTGGGATTTGGAACAGAACAGGCCTTTCTTGTGCAGGATTGCCCTGCATATTGCACAAGATTGATATCCTTGGTCTTGATCCTAAGAGCCAATATCACACTTGCTTCAAAAGTTATTGTAGAGATGGAATACAACTGCATGCATTCAAAGTGATAGCATATTTAATTTTACCTAGAAGAAGCATGGTGACATTAAATATGTTGTCTCCATTTTAGGAAGTGTCATATGAGCAAGAACTAATGGTACTGAAGTAAGAAGTTCAACGTGCACTAAATGCATAAGCCAAAAATAAGGCTGCAGGAATTCATGGAATATCCATTGAGCTGGTTCAGAAAGCTAAAAAAGCCCTGGAAGCACTCATCTCTGCTAGGAAATGTGGAAGATAACTACCTGGACAACCGACTGGCTGAGAGCCATAGTTGTGTCCATTCCAAGGAAAGGTGACCCAGCAGATGTTCAAACTACAGAACAATACGATACCACTGATTGCACACAAGTAACATTTTAAGATCACCCAACAACGGTGATAGCACTACATTGGCAGGGAGCTTCCAGAAGTTCAGGCTGGATTCAGAAGAGGACATGGAACAAGGGATACCATTATTGATATCAGATCGATCTTGGCTGAAAGCAGAGAACACCAGAAAGAAGGTTCATTGACTAGGCCAAAGCATTTGACTGTGTGGACTATAATAAACTGTGGCTAACCTTGAGAAGAATGAGAATTCCAGAACACTTAATTGTGCTTATGAGAAACTTGTACTTGGATCAGGAAGAGACAGTTGTGCGAACAGAGCAAGCAATGCTGTATTGTTTAAAATCAGGAAAGGTGTGTACCAGGTTTGTATCTTCTCAGACTATTTGTTTAACATATGCTGAGCAAGTCATCAGAGAAACTGGGTTATATGAAGAAGAGTGTAGCATCAGGGTGGGAGGAAAGCTTAATAACAACCTGCAGTATGTAGATGGCACAGCTTTGCTTGCTGAAAGTGAGGTGGAGTTGAAGCACTTGTTGAAGAAAATCAAAGACTATAGCCTTCAGAGGCTATACAGACTATATAACTCAGTGTAAGGAAGACCAAATTCCTCACAACTGGACCAATAGGTAGCATCATGATAAATAGAGAATTTTTGTCTTACTTGGATCCATAATCAAT